TCTTTTGAGTTGGAGTCTAGCTCTGTCACCCAGGCTGGAGTGCAGTTGCACGATCTCGGCTCACTGCAACCTCTGCTTCCTGGGTTCAAGCAATTCTTCTGCTTCAGCCTTCCGAGTATCTGGGACTACCGGTATGCACCACCATGCCAGGGTAATTTCAGTATTTTTAGTAGAGACAGGGTTTCACCATACAGGCCAGGCTGGTCTCGAACTCCTGACCTCATGATCTGCCCACCTTGGCCTCCCAAAGTGCTGGGATTACAGGCGTGAGCCGCTGTGCCTGGCCTCCTTTTTAAGAAGACATTCCCTCCCAACTCCCCGCCCCAACTCCTTCTTGTTATCTATCTATGCATAAGAAATGCTGAGATATCACTTTAAACAACTTTCATACTTTTTATTGTTCAAACTCATGGGTTTATTAAAATAAATCATAATCTTTCTATAACACTGCCTACTATGGGGTAGTAACTTGGGGTAGAGGTGATGATCGATGTTCAAAAAGTTTCTATATGGTACAATTCGACTTGTAAAGTTGAGCAGCTTGACACTCCTGGTTTTTTTTTTTTTTTTTTTTTTTTTTTTGAGTCAGAGTCTTGTTCTGTCGCCCAGGCTGGACTGCAGCAGCGCAATCTCGTTCACAGCAACCACCGCCTCCCTAGTTCCAGGAATTCTCCTGCCTCAGTCTCCCGAGTATCTGGGATTACAGGCATGCGCCACCACGCCTAGCTAATTTTGTATTTTTGGTAGAGACGGGGCTTTCTCCATGTGGATCAGGCTGGTTTTGAACTCCCGACCTCAGGTGATCCACCTGCCTCAGCCTCCCAAAGTGCTGCGATTACAGGCTTGAGTCACTGCGCCCAGACTGAAACCCCTCTTTTTAAAAATTCTACCAGCAACTTCAGCACATGTATTTTACATGTAGAAAAAAATGATAAGCTTTAGCTGAGAATTAGCATAGTGTACTATTGGCATTCTTTGAACTGGAATGTGGGAGATGTGGGACCTAAATCTGTGCCACTAATTAGTTGGCCTCATTGGTTCTGGGCCTCGGTTTTCCCACCTGAGAAATGGGAGCTTTGTACTAGATTATCTCCGGTGTCACTCATAAATTGTTTTAAGTGTCACATATCTTCTTTTCTTTAAATTAGAAATTGACTTTTTTATAAGATAAATCAAATGTTTTACAATGAAGCAATTAAGGCTTGATTCTTTGAGTTAAGGTTTATTAATTTGATATGGATATCACAATGGAATTTTGATCTCACTGTTATGAGGAGAATATCACAACCAAATTAGTTTTTCTTCATATATGAGGAAATTGGGCTTAATGAGGATATAAATTGCCAGATTATTATGGAAAATCTCTGCCCTAGAGATTTTAGTCTATCTATTAAAGTTTATTATTGTTGTTTTTAGGACCCACTAGCAAAAGATGAGAGTTGTTATTCAGCTTTAAGATATTTCAGGACTTCTGACTGCTTTTAAGTTTTCCTTTCAGTTCATGGGAATGGGTCTTGTATGCCTGGCTGAACTTGGTTTAAATTTTTGACAGTTTTTTATTTGTGTCCCATTTGGATGTTTTTCAAAATGTCCAGGCTATTCACACCACATCCGAATAAGCATTACCCACTGGCTTAATTCAAATTGTCTGGCATATTTCTAATTAGTATTGTTAATGCTTACAGATTATTATTAATAAAGTGTTGCACCTCGAGTTTACTGGAGAAATGATTAGGAGCTTAAAAGAAAAATTTAAACTTTTAAAATTGATTTTGATAGAAAATTCTTGGTTGGAATACAATAAGAAATGACAAGTAGCCAAAATAACTATCTCTTATGATATAAATACCAATCTGAAATAATTCTGGTAGTAATCTATTAATAAATTTAGACAGCATCATTGGCAAACAAAGTTATAGAGATGTATATGGAGAATACTTAGATGCTAGTTTTGCTATACCAACAATTAGCAGTAAATTTTAATTATGTCCGAATTCAGTATATGTTTGTATATCAGTAAATATTTTAGCAACAAAAAAGCAGTTTGCCATAATTATAAGTTATAAATCGTTTTCAGTTCTTACTTCCTCAGTAGTGAGTGAAAAGCAGAACAGATTCTAAAAATATTATCTAGAAGTATACTGGAAAAATACATGTTTGTATGTTTCTACCTCTGAAATCATGGAGTGTTTCTCTTCATTTTTCTCAAGACCACCTAAGGAAAGTTACTTAAGAAGCAAATAAAGCAAGAACCTGAAATTTATTTAATTTTTAAAAAATCACAATTTTAACCATTCAAGGAAAGTTATTTAAGAAGCAAATAAAGCAAGAACCTTAACTTTATTTAATTTTAAAAAATCATGACTTTAAAAAAGTGAGGTCATGGGCACTTACATAGTCACATTTCTCTACTTAACTACATCATTAACTTGAGCAAGTGGATTGATCATTCAGAGGCTTATATTTTAAAAAATGATGTTTCCCTTTACTTTTTGTTTGGAACATCAGTGAAGTTTTTCAGAAACCATTTGCTACATGTACACTTGTGTTAATAGTTTTTATTTACATCTATATCTTTATAAATTCTCTTAAAACGTATATGAGCACTTACAATTGAAATGTTCATATTTATAACTGAAAAATTTAAAACGTATGTACATATACCTGGTACATTAAAAAATTCAAAGGAATAAATTACTTTCCTTATTTTGCTCACTAATTTAAAATAATTTCTACTATGCCTTTTTCCCTCATTGATGTGTATATTGGAATTGTGATCATAAGAATATCACGTTCATTATTTTGTTTTGGAAATACTTCAACATCTCTATTCAATGACTGACTGGATCACGTTTACAGAGGCTTTTCAAGGCATCTGTTCTTAGCCACAGCTGAGAATGGGGCCCACCGTGCTGATTGGAAGGATCCACCTAGAATTTGTTGAATTAAGTTCTTGCACCTGGATATAATTGTTGTGCCGCTGTGCTGGGGTTTTCTTAAGCTACTGGTAAAACAAATTAGCTCAATTTAAACTGGCATCCAGTAGAGAAGCAACAACTCACCTCATATAACGTTTTCCAAATAATTATTTTTGTATTGCCAGGTTTACCTCATGAATATTTTCCTGAGGGTTGGGTGAGAAAAAATGTTTTTAAACTAGAGATGTGATGAAAATTCTGCACGTTATAGGCTTTAATATTATTGCGGTATAACTAAGATTCAGATAAATATGTGATCATAATTTCAGTTAAGCTGGATTATTCCCCTTCCTAAATAAAACATAAATTCAGATATTTAATTGTGAGTTAGAGCTTAAAAAATATTCTCATATCTGTATTTAAGTTTCATAAGCCACTGTCATACTTGCTGTAGATTTAATGACATAACTATTTTTTACAGGCAGAAAAGATGCACATAAGGGTGCTGATCAACAGAAGACAAGATTCATTTATGTTTGTTCAGTAGAATGTGTCAACTCATTTGGTTATGCATATTTTCAATCATTAATATTTGGCAATCAAAATCACATGCTTTCTGGAAATCTAGTAAATTAAAAAATTTAGTAGCTGTAAAGAATAGAACTGGTGCATATGGGCATATAAGACTAACACCCATATATATTTCTTTGTGCATTCATTACTTATTCACCTAATGCAAAAATCATGGGCACCGAGTGAGTTCCAGGAAGAATTCGTAGCACTGAGGGCACAGATAGGAAGCATGGAAAATTCCTGCCTTCCTGATGATTACATTTTAACTGGGGAGGCAGAAAAAAGAAAGAAGGAAAGAAAGAAAGACAAGAAAGAAAGAAAGAGAGAGAGAGAAAGAAGAAATAAAGAAAAAGAAAGGAAAGAACAAATTTCAGTGAGTATTAAATTCTATGAAGAACATAATGTGAGCTAGCTAGAGTATGGAGGAAAGGTACAGCTAGATTATTTAGACAGAAAGGCTTCTCTGAGAAAGTTTTCATGTGCATGTATCAATAAGCACATATGCTACCTGGATTTATGTAAGCATTTATTTCTTAATATGCATTTGTATTTGCAATGTCTTGTATGATGTTTAGCATAAAATGAAAGAAAAATCCTCTTTGTAATTGGAGATGGAAGGCATCTAGTGTCTTGAAAAGTCTGTGCACAGATGTAGGGGCGTATATGTAAAGATTGTTGATATTATTGTTTTCCCAAATATAACACAGACAACACAGCAGCCTATTATAAAATGGTTTATTACAAAGGTTCGGATATAAAGTCCTCCAGAGTCCTTTCTAATCATTTTCTTCAAAAATTGCTACTTCTTCTTCTGTAATAATAATTTATACATATTTTTGTTATAATGCATTCCACATTGCATTGGCATCAGTTATACACAAGTATATATTTATTTCTAGATTTTGCTCCTTGACAGTGTTTTTCCTTTAATGCCTTTGTATTTCCAAGCAAATCAAATTTGTTTTGATAGAAGTGTGTGATAGTGAGGATTTTCCTGTATTTCAGTTACAATGTTCTGACCTGATTACATGGGAAATTTTTACTTATATGCTGATGTTCTAAGAGAAAAATACTGTCTTTAAGTGGCAGAGCTGAATTCCAAAGTCCAGCAAACCAGCTAGCTGACTTGTGCTTATTGGTCATAGAAAACATTGCAGCTAAATTGATTAGCAATGACAACACTACTGCTGCTGTTGGAAATATCTACCATTTTTTCAGCTTTTTCCAGTGTTAGCTATTGGCCACTACTTACATCGTTCTATCAAATCCTGACAATTGCCCTATCAGGTAAATGTTTATTGAGACACTTCATAAATGTGTAATTGAAACTCAGAATAAAAAACTGCCTGGCCACTAACCTTGTCATAGATTGTCATAATATTATGTGTGCTGAGTTATATCCAGTTTATTACATATAATAAAAATACTATAAAATTTCAAATTAAAAATTTATAAAATGGCTACTTTATATACCTAATGTGTGTGCTGTTATATGGCAGTGGGATATTCTTTTGAATGTTTGGTGAGGAATGGGTGTGAAGTGCCAGGAATGTGTGTTTTGCTAAAGGCTGGGATGGGTATATGTGTATGTATGCTATATGTGTAAATATTTGCATAGTTATTTGATACTGTCAGCTTTGAGCTGAATAGTACTCACTATTATGCCTCTCTACAAAATGGATTTTGGAGGACAAGGGCCATTTTTTATCATCTCTGTGGCTTCACTGATGCAATGTAGACACCTACTAAATGCTTGTTAAAAAAAAAAAAAACAAAAACAAATTTTAACAAAGCAATTTTGTCACTAAGACAATACATAACATAGGCGCTCCTAAGATTTTTACTTTCTTCAAATTTAAAAAACAGCATCAATAACAGGGGAAAACAAAAAATAAATAGCTGTTATTATTTTTATTTTAAAACATCAGTAGAGTTTTATTTTGATTACAAAACTTGATCTTCAAAATCAGGCAAAAGTGTATTTTTATCTTCCTATGGAATGGTGGAGGTGAAGGCCTGTCCCACTGCTGGTAATTTCTTTTACAGTTATATGTCTACAGGTACAAAGATAGTAAAACATACTCCAAATGCTTTGTAAAATTTACACATATTTGATTCTATGCAGCTTGAAGTGAAGAAATGGTCTAGATATAAATGTAGGTGACTTGAATACAAAATCTTGCTATTATATGATTTTGTATTTCAGATATTAGAAAAAAGAATGTGATTATGTAACAGCTTCAACTTCAGTAATTACACAGTAATTTACTGAGTACCAAGTAAAAAAATTAGTTCACAATTTCTATTAATTAAGAGTAGAAGATGATTTTTGGTAGAAGCTCCTTATGTACTGTATGGTACAAGTCTACACTTCTCAAAGTTAAAAAGCGGGGTTTATGAACATGTGTTTATTCTCTTTCTCTTACTTTATTCTGGGGAGAACACTTACTTCATTCTATGGAATTAAGGCCACCCCTGAAATAATCTCTCACAGAATTGTGTGCTTCTTCAGATATCCCAGTGAAAGCAGGTCTCTCACAGTTCTAATATTTTTGTTAAATTGATATGTAGACTAAAATGTGAATGTGATGTGATTTTAAACTTCCCAAATTATCTGATCTTGTCTTAGTGTTCCAAGTGTAACTCTGAAGGGAAATTAAATCATATTTTGTCAAAAGATGGTATTGTGGAGACTTGCTATAAAGCTCTAGAAGTTACCTGACTGTCATGAAAGATTTGTTTTTATGGGACTGAATGATATATTGTAGATTTCATAGAAAACTCTATGTTTTAAAATTTTTGATGTCCCAAATTTAATTTCACTAACTGATACCCATGGAGTGTTTATACTAAATTGATATGGGGAGAGATAACTGGCAGCAAAGAGGCGAACAATAATCTAGTTGCTCCAGGCATCTGTGATTTTTTTCTACTTCTTTATTAGTTCAGGTGCTCTACATTTTGCTTTTAAAATAACTGTTTTAATTCTATTGACTTCTCCACATCTCCGCTTGTACCAGCTATCATCTTCTGTCACTTGGACTGCATGCTGACTTGCCTGCCTCTAGCCTCCCACTTTAAATGCCCTGAAATTCATTCTCCATACAGGAGCCAGGTTTTTTTTTAAGTGTAAGTCAAATTATGTATCTCCCTCTTTAAAAGGTGTTCAAGGCTTTATTTATAATTGCTCAAACTGAAAATAATCCAAATATTCATCAGTGAATGAATAAACAAATCATAGTAATTCGCACAAAGAATTCTTTTAGCAATCATGAGCTGATACATACCAGAATATCAGTGAGTCTGAGAGGCATTATGCTAAACAAGAGACGCAAGACATAAAAGCTACATGATTCCATTTATATGACATTTTGGAAAAACTATAGTGACAAAATCAGACCAGTAGTTGTTAGGGGGTGGTGGATGCAAGAGAACTTTTTGGTGTGAGGTGAATGATTTATTTCTTGATTGTGATAGTTGCACATCTTTATACATTTGTCTATAATCATCAGTTTTACATGCAGAGTGAATTTTAATACATTCATATATGATATGGTATATATATGCATGCATCTGTCTCTTACACAGACACAGACATACACACACATACACAAACACACTTTCACACATATATGTATGAATGGGTTCCAATCCTATAGAATGCACTGTGTCCCCCTAGAAATAAAAATAGGAAATTAAACACATTTCACAAAGTGCCTTCCTCTAACATTTGTGCACGTATATTGTAGCCTGTGAAGAGCTTTTGTACATGAGGTACATTATACCCCAATAACTGTGACTTAAACATCAAAAAGCATTCAGTGGCTTTCCTATACTTAGATTAAAGCTCCATAGCCCTAACTGTGATCTAGGAGTCCTCTTGTGAACTTGCTTCTGCCTACCCTTCACCTCGTTTCTCCCACTGTCTCTCACTGTTCTAGATTATTTACTGAGTTCTCTTAGATGTTTGATATTTAACTTTAAAAACAATCATTAGCATTCAAAAGTAACATTTAATATTTATTAATAAAAATTTAAAATGTGAAATTGTGAATTAATAATTTCTTGAAATAACACCTATATTTCCTCATAAAAATTAAAATCCTCATCTATAAACTCTCTATATCTGTCATAATAGGCATCTTAATTTTTTGTTCACGAAAAGGGAAGACTCAGTAATTTATATATCAGAGGGGTATTAAACAATGGCTAGTTACTTTCTGTCAGTTGAACATAATATAGGATGAACTAATACTATATTAACTAAACAAATGATTTTTTATATCTATTATGTAACAGGATACATAAAAGGCGTTTTCACTTTATAAATATACAAAGATTGAATTTCATTAATAAGCGCTTCTATTTTATTACAAACATAATTTAACATACAAACTTTCACTTACAGTCATGTGCTTCATAGTTACATTTTGGTCAACTATGGATCGCATGTACGACAGTGGTCCCATAAGATTATAGTGCTGTATTTTCACTGTACCTTTTCTACGTTTAGATATGTTTAGGAACACAGCTACTTACCTTTGGGTTGCAATTACCTATAGTATTCAGTACAGTACATGCTATACAGGCTTGTGGCTTAGGAGCAATAGGCTATACCGAATAGCGTAGGTGAGGAGTAGGCTACACCAGCTACATTTGTTTGAGCATACTGTATATTTTGTTTGTACAGTGAGGAAATTACCTAATGACACACTTCTTCGAATGTATCTCTGTAGTTAACTGACACATGAGTGTACATATGTACATATATATCAGAAATACACCTGTTTCTGTACTGAATGTGAGTCAGTGCACAAATATATAGCAAATAAACTTATAATGGGAGAGAGACTGAATATAGAAAACACACATACCCACAAAAAATTTATTCAGTTCTAAGAAAAATACAGTTTTCTATAAGTGGGAACATGTAAAAATAAAAATTTAGTTCACATATGTCTAAATCAGATTTACAAAGCTTCTATAAATGCATTGAACAGATTCATATCAGTTACTAAAATATTTCAAAAAAACAGGTCACATATATTATCTGATAGTGTACCTCATCACATTGGTCGCCTTTTCATAATATGCTTCCCAGGAGTATTTCAGAACTGTACAAAATGTTCAACTCATTTGAGAATTAGCAAAATACAAATTCAGCCTATAATGGCATTATGGAATTTTAATTTTCTAAGATTTTCAGTTAACTGTTTCCTTCCTTCCTTCCTTCCTTCCTTCCTTCCTTCCTTCCTTCCTTCCTTCCTTCCTTCCTCCCTTCCTTCTTTCCTTTCTTCCTTCCTTCCTTCCTCCCTCCCTCCCAATTCTCATTCTTGTTTACCCTTCCTTTTCTTCTTAGGCTCACTTATTACAGTCACTGCAGGAGTTTTTCAGTTTATAGCTCTGGAATAGCTTCAATTCACCTGAAATTTTTGCTATTCTGCATGAATATAGTAAATATACAGACCACTGGCTAGCCTTAGTCCCAGAATTTGTTTCTTTTTGCTTAATTTCTTTTTAAGATCCAAGGACAGGAAAATATTACTCAGGGAACATCTTGTGCAATGATGCCACATCCATCACTTAACTAAGAGCTTGTTTTCAACTTTCTGAACCAGCGGGGTGACCTTATGTTCCCAAGAGAGGACCTAAAATGCGCCGGGCAAAGCTCTGCCTCTTGAAATGGCTGTTTGGTATTACAGATGTTCAGGTGACTGACTGATGGTTTCCTACCCCTGTATGACAGCTCCTGGGAAGCTCTAGGATGTGACTTTAACTGGAATGACTCTCAGGAGCTTGGCTTGATACGGTACAATCTCAAGGCATCCCTAAGTCTGAAGTTCTTCCAGCAGGTCTGGTGAGTTCTAAAATTTTCCTGGCAAACCCATCTACTCTGACAGCACAAACAGAGAAATAAAAACAAGGGAAATATCAAGGTTAAGGCCTTTCTGGGTATAGTATAACATACTGGTTAAAAGCTGTGGTTCTGAGGTTGAGATTGTTTGGGTACTATTCCTAATTCTACCTCTGCTGGCTGCAAAATCAGGGCATCAATTTTCTCATTTATGATAAAAATACTTATATTCAATGGAATTATTTTGAAGACTAAATTGAATTAACACAGAGCCTAGCACAAAATAAACATTAACTAAATGTTATCTACTAGTGTTGTTGTTATTGCTATTATATTGTTATTCTAAGACTCAGCAGATACTTTGGCCATAGTTGAGTGACTACTAGGAATTTTCTTGTGTTATCAATTATACAAATAATTTATAGAACAGTTGTGATAAATATATACATAAGGAGAGTGGGCATGGTGGCTGACGCCTGCATTCCTAGCACTTATGGTGGCTGAAGTGGGAGGATTGCTTGAGGCCAGGATTTCAAGACCAGCCTGGACAACATAGCAAGACTTTGTCTCTACAAAAAATTTAA